CATCTTTCCCTTCGCCCACATTCAACCTGTCAGCAAGCCCTTTCTATTTTTCTTCCAAAATTTATCTCAAATCCATTCCCCATCCTCCTCCTCACACTGGCTTTACCACCCCTGCCCCATCCTGGTTCAAGCCACCACCTGCAATAGCCTCCCAGCTGGTCTTCCAGTAAGCTCTTCTCTTTTCTATAAGCACTAAAGGGAGTTTTAAACAATGTGAATCAGGTCACACCCCTCTCAAGGCTTGCTTTGCAACTAAACTAAAATCCAAACTCTTTGCTGTGGTCATGTTGTAAGATGATCCCTGACTGCCTCTCTAACCTCCTCTTAGTCTCCTTTTCAGCAGGCTCCAGGAGAGCCGCCCCACCCATGCTGACCTCCTTTCTAGTCTTTGGATAAACCAAGCTCTTTCTTACCTCGTGGCCTTAGCATTCCTCTGCTTGAAATGCTCTTCCCTAGAATCTCTAAATGGCATCTTCTGTTTGTAATTCGGATCTCAGCCCAAACATAAATTCTTGAGAGGACTTCCCTGACTACCTTTATCCATATAGACCCTTTTCCTCAATTATTCGCTCATTCTATTTCCATCATATCACTCACTTATCATAATCCAAAGCTGACTTGTTTACTATTTGTTTACTTTTTTACTTTTCTTTTCCACTGGATGTCAGCACCATAGGGCAAGGACTTGGTCTTGGTTTACTCCCAGACCTCAGGTCTTAGAATTGCCTTTAGTTCATAGTAGGTGCTCAGTAAACATTTGTTAAAAAAAAAAAAAATTAAAAAGCCCGGCCAGGAGTGGCTCAGTGGTTGAGCGTCGACCTACGATCCAGGTGATTGGGGTTCGATTCCTGGTCAGGGCACATGCCCGGGTTGTGGGCTCGATCAATGACTCTCTCATCATTGATGTTTCTATCTCTCTCTCCCTTTCCTTCCCTCTCTCTGAAATCAATAAAGATATATTTAAAAAAATAATAAAATAAAAAAAATTACAGAGTTAGACAGTTGGGTGTGCAGATATGAACCTCCAGTGAAAGATCTGAGCTGAAGATAAAGATTTGGGAAAAAGAAATAAATCTTAATAAACAATAGAAGGGAACTTCCTTAACTTATTAAAAGGATCTATAAAAAATCTATAGCGTGAGACTTAATAGTAAAACATTAGAACAGTTCCTTTAAGAATAGAACAAGGCTGCCCACTACTACATTTCCTATGCAAGTCTTCTGGAGATCCTAGCTAGCATAGTAAGGAAAAAAGAGAAATAGTGATTAAAAAATAATAATAAAATAAATTTGAATATATATTGTTTATGTAGAAAATGAAAATCTATACAAAAATGGTTAATTTAGAGTTTAGTGAGTTTGCTTGTTAACATACAAAAATAAATTGTTTAAAAAAATTTTGTTACTATGCCAGGAAAATGCAGACTATCTCATTATTCTAAAGTTATCTCTATATGTATGTAAATAAAAACAACCATTGTATCATCACAAAGCTCACTGTGAGCACAGTGAATTGAAAAAAGAAAACATCCCATAGACTATTAAGGCATGTTATTGAGATACTTTAAAATACCAGACAAAGCAAGAAAATCCTAAGAAAATCCAGGAAGGAAAAATACAAAAACAGGTTACCTACAATAGAACAAGAATCAACAGCAGCACTGGTTGCTAGAAGACAATGGACCAATGATTTCATATTTTTTAAAAAAAATTTATTTGATTTTAAACATAAAATTCTATACCCAGCTAAAGTGGCATTAAATTATAGATGTTTAAAATTTTGTTATTTTTGGATATATAAGAACTTGGAAAATCTGTCTCATATATATATATTCTCATCAGTTATCTGATAATATGCTCCACTAAAAGGAGGGAATAAACATAAAAGAATTATACTTGAGATCCAGGATGCAGTAGGCTCAGCCCAGTAGAGCAGCCAGGGGAAATCTTAGGAAGACTTCTATATAGCAGGCATGGCCCAAAGCAACCAGCTCAGATCAGAGGCATAAAAGAGAGGCTTCTAGCAGGGAGATTTCCAAGAAAAAGAACTTGATAGAATATAATAGCAACTGGATGGGATAGGGAAGGGAAGGATATTAATTATAATTAAAATACTGAAAGAAAAACAAGTATAATTAGAAACTCTAGCCCCTCCCATAAAAATATATGTGTGAGAAATATAATTATAATTTGTTATAGTATTTGGCTCTCCTATTCAACATTTTTTATTTTATTATTTTATTTTGTTAATCCTCACCGGAGGATATTTTTTTCCATTGATTTTTTTACAGAGAGTGGAAGGGAGGGGGGGCAGAAAGAGAGAGAGAGAGAGAGAGGGGAAGGGATGTGGGAAAGAGAGAGAAACACTAATGTGAGAGAGACACACTGATTGGTTGCCTCCCGCACCCACCCCAGCTGGGGCCAGGGAACAAACCTGAAACCCAGGTATGTGCCCTTGACTGGGAATCGAGCCCAAGACCCTTTGGTCTGCAAGTGACACTCTAACCACTGAGCCAAACCAGCAAGGGCTCAACATTTTCAAAGTCACATAGTATAAAAACTATTTATTGATATAACTAAATATGATGATTTAATGTAGGAGAATAAAAGATGAAAGGTAGCACGAGACAGTAAAATTCTTATTAGTTACAGCAAGAATAAATATATAAGGTTTAAAATGGATAAATCAAGAAAAAGCATTATACGTTTGTCATTTAGACTAAGAGAGGTAACCAGCAGAAGAAACCTCTAAGAGTTAAAAGGTATTGGCTCTGGCAAGCAGGATTTAGGAATGGGGAAGGGGTGTGACAAAACTTGTTTGTTTTTTGCTATAAGCCTTAAGATATATTCTGGATACCTGGGATGGACTGACAAAGTCAGAGGGGAGGGGGATGGGGGGAAAATGGATGAAAGAAGGTGAAGAGATTAGCCAAAGAACACATATGCATGGCTGAGGGTGGGGGTGAAGGGGTTGGTTGGAGGTGGGTAAAGGGAGGGGGAATGAGGGACATCTGTAATAGTGTCAACAATAAAATAAAAACAATGTTATACCACTACATACCTATTAGGCAAAAATAAGATACATTATGAACTATGTATTTACTACTTTGATAAAAACTTAAAAACTTAAAAAGAAAGATTTTTGTCCAGAAAGGAGTGTTACTGGAAATTGATTTTTTAATGGTAAAAGCTAAGGAAGCTTCAGAGCTCCTGGGAGCGCTGCGATTTGTTCTAGGGGAGAGAACAAGCCAGGTTGCAATCAGCAGCATTTTGGATAACCTGCCTAAAATGATTTCAGAGAAAGGGACGGATTCCCGAAGCCTTCAGTTATTTGTGATGCTTTTCTGAATGACGTTTATTTATTCTAAATAAAGTCATTTTTGAACCTTATTAAAAAAATTTTCCCCCCTTAAAATCAGTCCTTCAAGTTCAGTAAACTTTAGGCCCCATAAAACCCTGTCCCTGAGGGTTGTGGTCTCCAAAGGAGTTCGGGTTCATTCATCATGTTTATTTGTTCCTTTTAATTCTTGTTCTAGAGAGAGAGAGTGAGGAC